TAAGTGAATAATGAGTATATAAAAAATAGCCTATGCCATTTTTATCACCCGTATATGACACTTATTCTCAAATTTATGGCAGAGACAATTGAACTATGTTTCAAATCATTGGAGGTTATTTCTTACCAGGAATGCCTCTGTGCAATTTTTCACCTCACTGTTTCTATACTTATTCCATTACTACTGAAATACATATATATTACCAAAGCTGTAAATACACAGCTACTTAGTAGATGTCTACAATAATCACCCTGGTTTATCTTGTAAAGATGGATTCTTCAGCAAGACCCAGCATTCCTTAAAGCCTTAGAAACGTGAAAATGATATCTTAACACAAAGAGTAAAGTTTAAAACAACAATATCCTTTTAAAATTGGATCAGCCCATGAAGAAGAGTTGCATTGTACCTAGGTGGCTTTTCCTATGACAGGAATGCAATGAGCAAGTCCAACAACAGCTGACAAGGAGGTCAAAAAAGGGCAGTTAGTTTTCTGGGCATCAGGGGTAAATATAACTACTGTAGTGCCCAAAAATAAAAGGTAAGCAAAATTAAAGTCATGCACCAGACCCACTATCTTCTAGTTTTCTTGCCTTGCCCTCTTCTGCATGCTGTTTCCAGGATGCAAGCAAACAAGTGGGTAAACAGTATTAATTTGTAGAAAAAATTAGAGGAATCACATTGAAAAAAGGCAATTTGGACAATATAACTAAGCATTTAAACAAACTGAATAATACCGGGGTGGAAACAGTCTCTAGGGCAAGTATATTGGTTTCTGTTTAGTTTTGGGGTTTTGTTTAGTAGAACAAGGAAAATGGATGTTGGGACTGGATATAAAGTTCCATATGAACTAGAGAGAGTTTTATTCCATTTTCATAGCAAAAAATCTTTGTAACTTTCAAAATATGAATACAGAAGCTTCAAACTGGAAATACTGCAAAGTGTGAAAGGAAAACTGAATACAAAAAAGGATATCAGACCCAGTCAGAGGTGTCATGAAGATAAGAGGGAAAAGATAAACAATACATATATCTAACAATCGTGACACCATCAAAAACAGATTCTAAGAAAGTAAAGAACTCTTAAGTCCTCCAACTAAATCTCCACTACTGAAAAAACTCAAGAATTATTTTGTTTCCAATCAAGATGACTGGAGCAACCAGTCTGATTTACATCACAGGAGAAATAACGTGCCTTTGGGAAAGAAGCAGCCTCTGAAATCTCTCTCAGCTATGGACGAGTCAAAATTTAGAGCGCACACCAAAACATAAAAATAAAATTGAACAGGCCTCCAACAATATACGTAAACAATAATAATTTGACAGCAAGAAAAAAACAAAAACAAACAAGTAACATCCCACTTTGCCAAACACCCACAAAAACATCCTGAACATAAAAACACAACAGAGGATGCCTTTTCAAAATAAGAAAGGCACCACGGGGTTGGGCTTCCTTCACTAAATTCCAAAAATCTGAAGCATCACCTAGAAGGTGCAGAGACATAGGCAGGGAATGAAGTTACACATGCTACCACACACCTCGCAGGTGTACAGAGGGAGATGAGAAAGTGACCAGATGAGAAAGCTCTCCTCCCACCAGAAGCCGAACTCATGACTAGAGGACCCTGTTTCTGTCTCCGCTGTTTCCCTCCCACCACTTGAACAAGTCAGAGGAGAGAGGATGGGACTGTGAAATCCTAACAATCCTCTGCACTGAGCCCACTGCCACACTGATCTTTCCCTTCAACTTTACAGGAACAGCTTCCTCCTGTTTCCAACTAAGGCTGTTAGCCCTCAGCTCAAGCTGTGCTTCTGCCTGGAACGTTTCAGCACCACTGACACGCAACTATGATGACCCTGCCAGCATGTGTGACAGAATTTGTTTTTGTGTTAAAAGATATAATATTGTTTAGGTTCAAAGTAAAGCACTCACAAGTCAGAAAGTTTCCTGTGCAACTTTACTTCATCCCCTGGTGTGTTTATTCCCATTATCACCATGTTTAACTACAGGGGCACTTAGCATGTTTTCCAGTAGGACCCCTACTTGTTCAGCTTAGTGGGTGGACGGTACTCCAACAATCAATCAAGGGATAAGGAAATCCATGTGATCGCTCCTCCATTTGTTGCAGTAGCTTGCAATAGTAGGCAAAAAGGAGAGGAGGAAGAGCACAATATTTATGAGATTTTGTATCTGTCACTGCCTCACTGCTATGCAACTATCAGGCTAAAAAAGGTGCTTGTTGCTAGACATTAACTGCATGTTCTCAACAGAACCCAATGTGAAGAACTGCCAGCATTCATAGTGGCCACTGAATATAGACATCCAACTCGCATTATTTTCTGGAGAAACTAGCACAGCATGGAAGCAGGTGAATTTGAATTCTAATTCTGTTCCACCATTGATTATTTTTTGCGACCCCAGATCACATCTTGTTTATTACACTAATTTTACCGTCGGGAAAACATTATTCCCTCATTTCAAAGAGGTGCTGAATCAATACTTGTGAGCCATTAAAATAATACATTAAGAAGCACCCTCAAAGAGGAACATGCAGAAATTAATGACCATCTACCCACTGCAGTCTTTGTATTGCATAAGGGTTGCTCAATGAATAGTAAAAATATTACTTCCTTCCTCCATTACCATACATCTTCACTACCTGAATACTTTGAGCAAAAAGAAGCAGGAAACTACATAAATAAAGATTACCAGAACCTAAATGTATCAGTCAAAGAACTGCTAATGCAGTCTGAACTACCGTAGTTTCTAACTGTCATGCACTTGACTGGTAATATGGAAAAAAAATAAAAAAGGAAGGAAAGCTTAACACAACATACACAAACTGCTAAAAGTATTTTTTTAAAGGAATCAGGTTATTGATTTTTTACATTGTATAACCATAATTATCATTACATTTGTTTCCCTTTGATAATTTCACAAGTAAGGATTAAAAGCTACAAACTATTAGTTGTTCCTCACTATCCCATCTCCACCCTCCAAGATTTCTGCTTACTTCATAATTACACTGTAATAAAATTAACCAGCTCACTTTGCAATGAGCCCCAAAACAAAATTGGGTGTGAATGCAAATTAAGTTGAAAATATTACCATTACAGTTGTAGAGATGTATTATGTAGCATTTATGCTACCATAACAATAAACCAAAGATTTAACAATCATTGGTAAAGCATTGTATTCTCCTCTTAACTTCAGTAACAAAAGTAACCATCTTGTTTTCTTCCAGAAAAGCTGAAGCTGTACACACTCTACAAACACTAGACACCTGTATATAACTTCTACCATTGATCATAGAGACTCAAATAATACATTTCCTTGAGGGAAAATAGGTGTTATCAGTTTCATTTCAAAATACAAATCTTTGTACCGCTCTTTTCATGGGAGACTGGAAAAAGACGAGGAAACTGACAAGTCGTGTAAACAAGGCACCACGACCAAAAAACAAAACACAGTCTGGAATTATGGCATCTGCACCATACGCTGCCCTCTAAAAAAAAAATCCTAAAAACACTTATAACATTGAAGAGTTTCAAGACCAGCTTCACGCAGTGAAAATCGCCCCAAACACACACACGCTTCATTTGAGCATAAGGTCCAGAATACAGTAATACCATAGAAACTACCAAGGTCTGGAAAAAGCTCTCAAAGACTAGTTTTTTAAAATATATCTTCTTTAATGATTAAGAATGTATGCCATGAGAAGAAATAATCAGAAGCTCTCCTTTTTTCCCCGGTGGCCTTTCATGCAGATTTTAACTACAGATGGTATGATCTTCAAATCATGTAGTTACAAACAGTAGTTGGGAAAACACTTAAGACAATTGGCAGAAGTGCTTTAAAGATGAGAAGACTGACTGGTAAGAGCAATATGTTTCAAGCGTGAACTCTTACAATCAAAATATTTTGAAAAAGAACAGGTGATGAGCTGCACTAGATGCTAGCAGGTGCCTACCCGCATAATGAAGTGCTTCATTTCAGAGAGGACTGTGATAAGCCTGGGTAATTTGAATGGCTTAGCCAGAACCACGCAAGTTCCTGTAGCAGAAAGAGAAGTTCTCAAAAGAAAGATACCCCCGCTGAAACTGTTCCAGGACAGCAAAGCCTTTTATGAGCTTTTCATAAAGATAAAAGAAATCCCAAACTGGAAATATACAAGTTATTTTAGCGGACTGCAAAAAAGTAAGTTTTTCTTTAAAAAAAATGAAATATAAATCTTGAATGCAATAAACTTCACCCAGGTACTAACGCTATTGCTGACAACTTTTTAAGGTGAGAAGCCATCCCGTTCCTACACTCCAGCGTACCAGCATGGCCAGTCACAGTCAGACGTGTGTGACTGATGTGACAATACGCCAGCGGTTCAGTAACATCTTCATTCACTTGGATGACACCAGGCTAAGCTGTTCAGCGGGCAAGTTTTGGGGGGGTTAATTGTGGGAAGCGGCCCTGCTGGCACCCCAGCAGCCGGGGTTAGCTCCCCACCGTACCTGTCACACCCCGAAGGGGAGACACCTTCGCCCCACGGGCTGAGCGGTCCCCCCCTGCCCCACACCCCGGTCACCGGAGGCCTTCCCACCCCGGGGGGGAGTTCTGAGGAGACCCCGAACGCCTCCCGCCTTCCCACAGACGGACGGGCCCGGCCGGGAGCGGGACCCAGAGCCAGACCGCTCTCCTTCCTCATTCGGGGTTTGCCCAGCAGCCGCGGGGAAGGGAAGGAAGGGAAGGGAACGGCCGCTCCGCACCGGCGGGAGGAAGTAACCGGCGGAGAGGAACCTGCAGAGGGGGGAAGCGAGAGGGGAGCCCCGAACCCACGGAGCAGCAGCGAACGCCCAGCGCCGGCGGAGGAGCGTTCCGACGGGGATAAGGCTCAACGGGCCGGTCCCCCCCTCCCAAGCCCCGGGTGCCCCGGCCCCGTCACACACACACCCCCCACTTCGGCCCGCCCCCCGGGAAGCCCTCCCTCCTTCCGTCCCTGCCTCCCCTACCTGCCAGGAGGCTGCAGACCTCCTCGGGGATGGCGAGCGCGCCCTGCATGCTGAGGGCGGCGGGGGGCAGCCGGGCGGCCGGGGACACCCCGCGGGCGGGGCTGTTCGCCTGGGTCCGACCCCGGCTCCGCCAGGGAAGAAGGAAAGGCCCCGCCCCTCCGGGCGGCAACGCCAGGGCCGCGAGCTGCGGGGGCGGGGCTTCGAGCCGCGGGGCGGGGCCTCTGAGCTCCCCCGCCCCGCCC